ATTTGGACACCTGCCAATATATCCTGTTTATATTTCAAAATTACGAACCAAACCGTCAGTTCCATATAGCACATACAGCTTATAACCCCTCCTTTTTGGGCTTTTTTGGGTTATATTGCTTTAAATTTGACTTTCCTTTGAATGGAATAATTTGTTCATCAATACAGAGTTGTTCATATGGTCTTAGCTGAACAAATTTATATTTTAAATAATCAATCACTGGACGAATTTTGTATAGTATATCAGAACAATTATCTTGGCGACTTAAATTATCACTGCAATGCAATTTGTTTTTAATTTTTTCAAAGCGTTTTAAAGTCATAACATCTGCAACTTTGTTAAATTAGAACTCTTTACGCCAGTACATTCGAGTGCTAGGCATTTTCATTAAGCTTGTAGCAAACAATATTCCAATAAACTGTTCCAACTCTACTCTCGTTATTTTCAAAGGGTCATTTGGATTGCTTTGAAAAGCATATTTGTTAGACTCGTTTACAATTATATCAAGTAGTTCATTTGTGATAAATTTCCTAAAGAATTATATTGGCTCATCATTGTCAGGATCATCTTCATACTCTAATGCTTCAAACTCCATTTTTTTTATAATTTTTTTACTTTTACTAAAAGTAGAAAAATTATGAAAAACATTTACCACTTACAATGCATAAATTTTCTCTAAAAGTTTTAGAGAAAAATTATGCATTTTAAGTAGTAACTACTCTTTAAATAACGAAATAAAATTATTATTGTTTGTTTATATTAAGACGTAACATCTGTTTGTTTATGGTATATGTTATATTGATTGAATAGCAATGTTATAGTATTTATACTTTTAGTGCAGTCAGTACCAATCAAAAATTGTGAGGTTCAAATATTTATATAATGGATCTACAGTTTTAGTGTAGGCTTTTAGTGCAAACTGAAAAATATTTTTAAAAAGTAAGTATTATTAATATTCCTATATGAATACCACTAAAGAGAAAATAAATTTACTTACCTCTGATATGATAGATTATTATATTGTATCATTTATTTTCTCTTTACTAGAAAAGTTAACATGGTTTGAACAACAATATATGTAGCTAAACATATTTTTTATTGTTAATTAAGTTTTGCGTGTTTAACTTCATTTAATATTTTATATACAGTCCAGTCAGTTGCAACAACAATTAAAGCAGCAGGAAACAGCCAAGTAGACATGCAAGTGGTAAATTGATTTTTGTGTTGTTTTTATTCCTTTACAATTTAGATTTTCCTAAAATAATAGTTAAGTTAATAACTATATTTGTAAAGACCATTCTGTAAATAAAAATTGCAATGATTTTTAAAACTAATAGTTATTTTTTTAGTAATCACAAGATAAAGTGCAAACTCTGTACTTTTAGATATGATTCTAATAGTTGAACATCTTTCAGATGTTTACCTTTTAAATCATAATCTAATTGATCAGGCTTATGGAAAGCTATGTATAAAAATTCAACGCTTAAAAAAATAATGTAAGATTAAAGGTAATTCCTATTTTATTTGAAAGGTACTTTGATGATTGGTTCGAGTCTTTAAAGTTTAAATCAGTTAAAAGAGAGTTCAAATTGTTTTGTTTTATCTAATGCTCTATATCTAAAAGCTATTGAAATATTTATTGCATTATTATTCATATTTTTTATTATGTTACGAAAGACCTAGCAAGAATGGAATTTTACGGGTCGAAATATATAGTATGTATATCATCCCTCGGAATTAGGAAAACTAAAGTTAGCAAAAAAACTTAAAAAACTAAACAACTAAACTTATTTGAAACACTTTTAACAAGTTTAATTACAAGTTAATGTTATGTGTTGATATACTTTCAACAAAATTAGTGTAAATATTTCAGCAAAATGTCATATCGCCAGGCTGTTTGATTGCAAGCTTGATATTTTATTGAATTGTTATCTTAGTTTGTGATATTATAATTTTTATTCACAAAATATTAAATAATTTACTTTTTAAATTTTTTTGTCATTGCTTTGGATAAGATGTTTTGTTATTCCTTTTACAGATTGTTATGAGGATTGCAAAAGTTTAAATAACAGAAACTGAAGAAGGCATTGACAATCAGCAGATAACACAAAAGCGCAAAAGTACTAATTATACAACTCTTTTAAAGGTTTCATTTTAATTTATTAATGTTTGAATAGAAACTAATAATATATAAACTGAAAACAATAACATATAATTAATCCATAATTTTGCATTATTCTAATCTAAATTAATTTCTTTTTCAATTTCTTCAGAGTTAATATTACTAGTTTAATGCAATTACAGTACAAATTAATAATGGAAAAATTGCATTAAAAATTAAATAAATCGTTTTTTATTAAATTAAGTTAAATAAAGCTTGTTAAAGCAAATAATATTATTTTTAAATTTATTATATATATATATATATACATATATATATATATATATATATATATATATATATATATATATATATATATATATATATATATATATATATATATATATATATATATATATATATATATATATATATATATATATATATATATATAGTATATATATATATATATATATATATAGTATATATATATATATATATATATATATATATAGTATATATATATATATATATATATATATATATATATATATATATATATATATATATATATATATATATATATATATAGTATATATATTACTGTTACCCGCAGTATCAGGAATTAGCTAAATGCTAATATTTATAATATTATATTGCGACTTCAGTTTCATGTGTTATCACAATCATCAGGCAAGTAGTCAAAAGTTAATTTTGCTGCAATGTGTTTAGAAAAAATTTACGGTTTATATTAGTTTTTTAGATCGTTATTGGACGGAAATTGTTTAGTAGTTAAGGTTAATGTTATTATTAATTTGTTTTTAGTTAATATATGTGAAGTTGTTGTATGTTTTAATGTCTGTTATAAAAATACGATTTAATAATAATGTGAATTGTTTTTAAAAATTATTGTTTTAAAAATAAATGAATATAAAAATAAGTTTCAAAAGTGGGTATAAGAATATAAATTATATTAGGAAATATATTACAAAAGCTGTGTATGTGAATAATTTATTGGTTAGCCTAGAGGTGTACGATATAGGGTTGCGTAGTTAATGTTAGTGGTTAGTTTAGGTTTGTAGCGAGCTTTGTCGTTTTTTAATGAAAACTTGTTTTCGTGGCGGCACTTTGATATGATTTCGTTTCGTTTATTTAGGAGTTCATCAGGTTTAGGATAGGATATAATTGCGAACTTCTTGTATAGACATAGTTGGCACCTTTTGGAAATATTTGAGTAGGGGGGTACAGATTTCAGAATAGACCATATAAATATTGGGGTTTCGTTAAAATTGTTTTTTAAATCCCAGACGTAGTTTGATAAGGCGGTGGACTTTTTGTATTTAACATTATTGAATGATGATTTGTGATTGTTGTATCTGTTTTTCCACTCCCCTTCCGTTAATCCAATATACACTTTGTTGGGCTGATTTTTAGTTGCGATGATACATTTATATATAACGTTTGTGGATTTACACTTTCCATTCATGGGGCATTCTGCTTCCTTTCGACAATTGCATTTTATGTATATATATATATATATATATATATATATATATATATATATATATATATATATATATATATATATATATATATATATATATATATATATATATGTAATAAATTTAACAATAATAGTTTTATTTAGTTTGTTCTAATTTTTATGTATAAAAAAAAAATAAGTTTTAATAAGTAAATGATTAACCATTTTTAAGGTATAGTAAAATAGTTTTAATTTTCAGTTGAGAAAGAATTTTATGTTAATGTTAAAGCAAAAGTGCTAGAAGTACTTGCATGCATTATACATGCATGCAAGTACTTCTAGCACTTTTGCATATATTATAATATAGCATGCATGTATGATTCAAGTATTAAAAAAAAAGTTACAAATGTTTAATTAAACAAAAAGATTATTGATGTGGTACCGCTAGAATATTCAATTGATTATGAAAATAAGTTGTCCTACTTTACATCTTTGAAGACTAATAATAATTGCAATGAACATATCTCAAACAATATACAATCGGATTTACATTTTAGTTAAACGATCACCACTTCCACAGCCACCTTGTCTCAAGCATTCAATTGCATTCTAAGATATCTTTATTCAAGTCAAGTGTGACTGCTTTACCAAAAGACTACAGTCTTTGGTAAAGACTGAATGGACCAGTCAATTAAGGTGTCTAAGTTTATATTTTTTATATAGAACTTTTTTACTTTTAGATAAACCTGTTAATTTTACAACTTATGAACATATTCAGCAATGTAATCTTTTTAGAATAGACTTTTTAAAACAAATTTACAATGCTTTAGTAAATTTTTATTTAAAATAACTTTGCATACATAATATATCTATATAGTTATTTACATTGTAGCTAACCCATCAGTACTTGCAAAGTCTTCTTTTGTGTCCCAGCGGGAGCACAACGTTGTATTAACGTTTTATTTACGTTAGATTATATGTTAGTACAATGTAGCCGGTTCGGCAAAATGGAAAGGTTTTGTAACGTAAAATTCTTACGTTAGATTTACGTTAGATATTAACGTTAAATTCTAAAGTTAGATTAGCGTTATACTAATGCATATACAAATCAGAAAAATATTAGCGTTTTATTTTAACGTAAAATATTGATTATAATTGTGTAAAATTTAATGTTAATATAGCTATAGTTATATTCATATAACCCTGAGCGGAAGTCCTTTATACGCGGCTTCGCGTCATGGTTATTACATGAATATAAGCGTATAAGTAAAGGGTTGCAAACCCCTTACAATCCTTTGTAAGGGGTTTTTAACTCCTTACAAAAGGTTAGAAAAATAATTTTGGGGATATTCAAACTAAAAATACAATAAATGTTTTCAAAAAGTTTTTTTAAAGGTGTATTATATATTCTTTGTATTATAAGTTTACAAAAAAACTCAAAAATAAATAATTGTTCAATGGAGAGAACTTTAAAATGCTTCCTATTTGATTTGTTGTTTACTTTCGTCGACCTCTCGTGCATTAGCTGGATGACTTCTAAAATACAACATAGGATACTGTAAACAGGATAACAGTTAAAATTTTATTTGTTTATAATTGACTATTTGTTTAATTTTCAACGCTAACATTCAATGTTCAAGACTAATATATATCTAAGAACAAAATACATATGTAAGGAAGAAGGGATAGATAGAACAATATTGAGCTATTATTAACGTACTAAAATTATTGCTTTACACAACTTTTTATCTTTAAATGGTACCTTTTTTATATCATGACGAATTTTGCTTTTTATATTGAACTTGGGCTTAACAAGATGCTCCATAATTCTATAAAAACGTAATAAAAAATAAAAAATGAAAAATAACTATTTTATTATAGTACATCAACCATCGACTTTATTTAATTGTAAACACACATTAGAGTAATAATTCACAAAGTATAATTTTAAAAGGTACTTTACTTTTTTATAAATGTTTTATATTCAAAGTTTCGACATCGAATTAAAGCTGAAACCTGTAGGGGACAACCTAAATGAATGGGGCAGTTTTCCTAAAAAACTTTTTAAAAATTGATAAAGTTGTCTAATTTATACATTGAAAGTTGTTTGTTCCGCCAGGAGAAATGTGCTATTAATTCCCATTAATGCAACAATTTTAATGTTATGTTTGGCCTATCATGTTTAGGTCATGATAGGAATAATGTTTTGGTCTGTTGTATTGTTGTGTTAAACATTTCTTACCACAGTTTTTTTACCAATTAACCTTAGATGCTTGTAAGCAAATTTGATTTTGTCCCATTCAATCAGCGTTCCATTCATTATACTTCTCTCCAAATATTAATATTAAAGTTTTTTGTTTTTCTAAATTTTTGTTTTTCTAAATTTCTAAATTACTTTTATTGGGCTAGATTTTTCTATTAAATTTACTCACAATTTAAACGGTTTGATTATCCAGAGTTAAACAAAAATACATACCTGCCATAACAATTTTTGTATTTTCTTTAACATTTTTTTCGCATGCTTTCTTGAGGTGAAAAAGCTAAAACATAAATAAAAGTCTAGTGAAAAGTTCATGTTTGAATAAGACAAGATTAGATTCATTTGGTTGTTTGTCACAGTTGTTCTATAAAAACAACAAAATAATTGCTCAATCAAATATAAGACAAAATTATTTAACAAAAAATACAAGACTTTGAAAAACTTTACAGAATGTAAATAATTATCAGGTCACTAAAATAATTTTTGACTTATGTATTGTATAAATTTACCTTCTACATTTTAAGTATAAATTTACCTTTTATACCATATTCTGGTAATTTAAATAGGTTCATCAAGAAAATGATGAAAATAAATAGCATTCTATTAAACAGACAAACTTTAAAAATAAAAATTATAAATAAAAAAAGTACCAATTTACAGTACTCCCGGCTGACTTTTAATCTGGTTTCAAGTTTATAAAATTGTTCAAGGGACTCAATCTTTTGAAAATGGTTAAGATGTAACTGAAGTTATATAAATAATACTGAAAATTATTTGCCAATAATAACTCATACAAATGCAAAAAATCATATAAAAATCATCATGATTATTTGGCTTGTTATCACCAACAAATAATGATACAATCAATGGTGTCCCTTTGTCTAACATACATAATATAGGTCTGTGTGTTTGATGACTTGAATAAGGGAAGGCCATCTAAATTGAAAACTTGAAAAATTGCATTTGACTCAAATCTATAATGCTAGTTGACTGCTAAAGTTCTTAACATGCTGTTTGAAATACCAAGATGAACATATTCACCTCCACATTTTAACTCACTTTCTAAGAGTATTTGAAATTGTCTATGTGCATTTTGGTAAATCAATATGATGACCATACTGATGTAAAAATAAAAATAACATTTCATCACTTGCATTTCTAGTTATTCTGTGTTTTAAAATCCATTTGGCTATGTCTATAACAAGTACTCCATCTTTAAGATTTTCATTATCATCATTCATAGGAACCTCAGAGTCTAGATCAGAACTTTCAGTTTCAGAAGTATCTTTATGGTCAGACACAAAATAAAAGTCACTCTAGTTCTTAATTTTAATGTTTTTGAAATCAATGCAACTCTCGACTTCATTAATATTGGATTTAACATGCGACGAGTTGTCGATTTCTTCATTTACAAGTATATTATTTAAGGCTTGATTACTTTGGTGCCATTACCTCAAGTATTGATTTTTCTCTTGTTTATTCATTTTTATTTTTCTGAAACAAACATAAATTTTAGAAATTTTAACAACAAAAAGATAATAATGAAAACTGAACACAATAAAAAAAAAAGTAATAATAATAATAAGAAAACCTAAATTTTTATTAATAAAAAAACAAGTAAAAACTTTTTTAGAAGAGTTAATATTCTTATATTTCCTAAACTTTGAAGAGTTAATATTTTTATCCTCTCATCAAACTATGATTGATCAAAGTAAGTACTTGTTAGCTAAAGATGATTGATCAAAGTAAGTACTTGTTACAGCTACAGTTGAATGTTTGTATCATAATTAAAACCCTAACGTTAAAAACCTTTTTAAAAAGTAATAATTAATAGTCATAATTGAGCCAGGAAATAAGCTGAAAACAATTTTTGGAATGACAGTAAGAGCATTTGCTAGCCTTTATAAGCTATGATTATTTAGGCTAAAATAAAAACTAGCTTAAAATAAAATCTGAAAATAAAAATTAGGTATTACTGGTTTTTCAACAACGAAATGTTAACGTTAAACTTTAGTTTGCAAAATAATGTCATTTGTATTTTATTTAAAGTTCATTAGTTTAACGTTAAGTTATTAAGTTAAATACATAACTAAATAAATATACAAATTAATACTAAAAACGTGAATATTCAAGAAGATTACAGGTATAGTATATACTAAAAGAACTAAAAGAAACTAAACAATAATAAATATAACTGCTTAACAATTGCTTGCATTCTCTATACATAACCTTCCGGTTTCAAATTGTTCATATTGTTTGATATTTATTTACCAATGGAGAGGCCTTTTTAATATTTGCAATATGATCATTTATTTGCGCTTTTGTTAAAGACTCTCTATGCTTTCTATAAATTAAAATTTTAAAATACATTTTATTTTACTTAATTTATGATTTGATTTTTTTAAACACTTAATACAGATGTTTGTTAAAGATATTTGAAAAATTAACCTTCCGGTTTCAAATTAATAATATACTTACGTTGTTTGTCGATATATACCAGTTTATTGAAATTCATTTTCCACAGTTAATTTGATTGAAAATATTGTACTATATTGCTTAGAGTGAGTAACTATCCGAAGCAAAGGGTTGCCATAGCAGCTTTAATTACATGAAAATTAGGCTCTAACCGACTTGATATTCGTTTGTAATTCCTCGCATCCAAATATACAACATATTACTCCTTTTTATTATTAAAAAAATCTAAACTTTGCAATAAATTTTGATTCTGTTAAAGCAATATAAAATAGTTGCACAACGCTTTAAAGCTTTAAATGAGATTAAAAAAAAAAGTTTCACACTATCACTGATAATAATATGAAAATATTTTTCTGTGTAAATATCTCAGCATTAATTATCATATTTGTATTATCAAAATTCAAAAAATTAAAATTTGAACACATTATAATGTTATTAAGATTAGTATTTATGGTTATTTAATACTTAATGTTAAATATTTATTCAATAAGCAGGATAATATTTAGAGGCTAACCAATAATATATTTATTTTTCTAAAATAAACCTTTTTAATTAAACATTTATTAAATCTTTTATCAGCAATTCAAAGTTTTAAATAAATGTGCGTTGTTTATTTTCAAATATTTTTTGAAAATTCCTTTAATGTCTTTTAAAAGACAATGCAAACCTTCAAACTTAGCTAATTATCTTTTAACTTAGCTAATTATCTTTTAACTAAACTTATTTTCTATATTATCATACGCCATCTTTAGGAAAAAAATAATTAATTACTTTTTATTATTAATATTTTCTCTTAAAAACGCAGCAATAAAATTACAGGTAAATTAAATTATATTAAAACAGTTACAAATTAAATTAAGGCCAATCTTGGCTCTCCAAACATTTGTCTTTAATGCCAATAACTAGACCGACTAGACGGTTAGGTCTATTTTAAGAATATTCTCCTCCATCGTTGTTTTAAATTTTTCTCTTTGTTATTTTAAGTTCCATAATTGGAACACTTCTTTTAATATTGATATAGTATCAGCTTGCAATTCCTTTAGAGGTAGTGTGATTTTAATTTTTTTACCTTATACCATGCATTAAAAGATGTTCAAGCCACGAGTTTTACATATAGCAACCACTTCGTTTATAAATGATTTTTTATTTTGTGTTGCCAGTAATTGACTGATTATCAGCGAATAGCAAGTTTGATTTTTCATTAGCCTAATTAATAGGTTTACTTTAATTCGAAGAAGAGTAGTTGAAATATCTTCTATTTTAAAAAAAGAGTGTAGGTAATTTTTGCTATACTTTGTAATACAAAAAAATGATTTTGAAACTGCTCTTCCTCTTAGAAAACTAATGTCATAGTTGCATAGCTCAAGGCTATATACGAGCTTTGTTACTGTCAAGGTATTGTATAAATGGACTATTGTTGACGGCTGACAAAAACGAATTCCACTGTCAATTAGAGTTATTGCAACCGATTTAAACTGCGTTATACGTTCATTTTTTTGAAGTGTTGCAATTTTGTTTTTGTTGGTATCGTTATCCCATTGGAAATCAAGATGTTTTAATTTATTTTGGAGATGTATATACAGGTAAGTTCCGTTTATTTGAATAATGTTGTTGAAAATTGAACTTTTACCAGAGATCAGAAATTCCGTTTTCTCAGTGTTTAGCTTGATAAAGTTTAATATTCCATATGTTTGAAATCTGTCAATCAGTTCTTGCAGACCAGAGATTGTTGGAATTTGCAAAATTACATAATCTGCATATGCAATGACACCAGTATAGATGCCATTTATCGTCGACCCTACTTTACATTCTGAGACTATTTCATTTAAGATATTTTCAGTATAGATGCTATATAAATATGGCGATAAAATAGACCCTTGTCGCACCCCTACTGACAAACTGAAATAATCTAAAGTAACTCCCTGATAGGATATATTTGCAGTGCCAGAACGATATAGCGATGTGATTGCGTGTACAACAGATAAAGGAAGTTTTTTTGGAAATAGAGCTTCTCAAATAGCAAATTCCAGTTGCAAGTATCAAACGCTTTGTTTGCATTTAATCTACACATATATAAAGGCGTGATGTTGTTATTATAGTGTTTAATGGTTTCACTCAATAAAAATTCTGCATGAAGCGTAGAGCTATTTTTTTTTAAACCAAACTGATAGGAATCTCTATCTTTAATACTAGGACATAAAAGTAAAATTAGATATTCTAAAAGTTTGGCAAGGATAGGTAAAATACTAATTCCGCGGTAATTATCTGGATTATTAAGAGATTTTTTATATGACTTAACAAGTGGAATAATTATTGAAGTTGATAAATCTTTTGGTACCTTGCCATTCGTTAGAATGCTGTTATAAAATTTAGAGAGCCACAAAAAAAGATTGTTATTATGACAGTTTATAAGATGTTAGCCAATTAACCCAAAGCTATCTGGGGACTTATTATTATTTAGTTGTGATATGCAGTTTATAATATCAGCTGATGTAATAATTAGTGAATTAGGCTCATTACTTAGAGGCGGAATTTTAAAAGGATTATGGTTGTTATTTGTAATGAGCGGCGTATTGAGTAGACTTCGAAAATGTTCTTTAACGGTATCTTTTATGTTTTGCGAATTATTAATCGTAAACCAATCGTAAACGTAAATCGTAAATCGTAAAAACCGAGTTTTTGCTTTGATTTTGATTTTAAAAATATTGTCCCAAAACTTTTGAGGATTTTTAGTTCGTAGATTTTCAATATATATTGTTTTTTCATGGATTTTTTTGCTATGGGCTGCTTTAACCACTTTTCAAAAGTTTTTACGTGCAAGGATGTATCTTTTGTTTGCTATGTATTCGTGTGATTTATTATAGTTAGATTTTTGCCATTGTTTAAAGTTAAACAAAAGATGTTCTTTGCATTTTTTAAGTTCTGTTGTCCACCACGGTTTTGAATATATACAGGTTTATCGTTGTTCAAAGCATTGCGCAACTGCTAGTAAAGCAGCATTTTTGATCATTTTGCATGTTTGCATCAACTCTTCTTCCATTTTTTCCTCGTTAAAGGTGCAGTTATCAAAAGCTATACAAAGATTATGATTATATAAGAAATAGTTCAATATTTAAAAGCCAATGCTCCGATAGAAAGATTATATCAAATGATTTGACTAGTTCAGTAATATATAATGAGTTTGATTTAAAACTTTGGCAGTTGTATGCACAAAAAGAAATATTTTCGAAGGTTTTACTTACTTTGTTTCCTTCCATTTT